AGAAGAATATGTTAGTATTATCACTAAAGCTCTTAAATTAGCTGTAGATAAAATATACCAAAACATATACCTAAAAACCAAGTTGGAGCTTTACTAAATAAACTAAGATTAAAGTAAAAAGGAAACTTAGAGAGTTATATATAAAAAATAATAACTTGTATTGAAAACATTTTAAAATAAAAAACAAGGGATTGTTGAGGATTTAATTAACAAACAAAAAATTAAATACTTTGAGTTTTGTGATGATTTAGATAAAGAAAAAGATAGAGGCAATTTTTGGAAGAAATTTAAAAATTATGTAAGTGAAAGCAATGTTGACAATAATTTCCCTTGTAAAGAATAATATAACTGCTAAACTGATAAAGCTAATCTTTTTTAATAATATAATATGTGAGATTACAAAAACAACTAATGTTACCAAATTTAATGTAGAATGGTATGCTTATGTGAATGAAAGAATTAATAACGATAGGTTAAAAAGCAAATTTTCCTGTTAAGATTAATGATTTTTCAACTGTAAATGGAAACCATTTAAAATTGAATGTTCAAAATATTGAGGTATATGAAATAACTGAAATTTTTAAAAGCATTGTAAAAAATACATCCCCTGGTTTTGATGAGATTAAATATATAATGCTTAGTAATTGTAATAAAACTGTTTATAAGAAATTAGCAAATATATATACATATATATACCTTATTAAAGTCTGGATATATTCCTAATTTATGGAAATTAAATATTATGACTATGATATCTATAGCTAATAGACGTAAAAAGATCCTATTAACTTGACAAGTTGTCTGTTAAAAGTATTTGAAAAAATAATTAATAATAGATAACTAATAGATTACAGTATCAAGTCCACTAACTAACAGAGATTATATTAATATTGGACAGTATACTGATGACATTAAATAATGGGTAACTAATTACTCAGTTCTAATAATATTAGAAAATCTTCAGTTAGCTTTAATGGATTTAGAATTATGATGTCGATTATGGAGGAACTGTTTGAATCCTGAAAAGTCAAAGTTTATTATTTTTCATAGGGGGAATAATATACCTAAAAGAAGTATAAATGAAATTAAAAATGCTATATTGCAAACATATAAAACAAATAGACCAATAATTGAAAATGTAAAATAGGAAACTAATGTGAGAAAAGTATGTAAATTTGTTAGTAAAAAAGGGTGGATAAGTATGAATAGTTTGAGGAAAATTATAAATAGGTAAAATTGTAATACTATAATTAAAAGATATAAAGTAAATATAACATATTTAATTGAACATGCATGCAGTTCATAGTTTAATACAAATATAGACAATCTAAATATATTGCAAACAATTCAGAATAATGTGTTGAAATGTGCTAAAAAATCCCCTTTAAACCTTCTGTTGCTTATCTGCTTCTTTGTTAATTTCCGGAATAAATTCTTTCCGAGAAACTTCAGCGATACAAGTCCTTTCTTGATTAGCTGAGTTTGTTCTTCCACGATACAACTTTTTGTAATACACAAAATTTCCACAGTCACTTTAAACTTAACAACCTTTATAACACAGGCTAAAATCACAGTGATTCACACAATTTACTTATAGCGCCTACTGTTCGCGTGACTCAATTATCTATCTGCCTACATGCTAGTTTTTCTCGCCAGGCTTATATATTAAAAAAGAGGGCATCTAGATCAGACTAAAGTTGTCGGGCAAATTAAGGATTCTTCAAGAAACTCCAGTGCGCATGCTCCCAGCGTCACGTGACTTGCGCTGTCGTAACACTGCCCCTTCCTTAGTATTGTTCGTCCCGACCAATAGCCACTTACATTTGATCAATAGATAATTAACAATAACTTAATTAAATGTACAGAATTTACAACCACAAAATTAAAATTAAATGTCCCTTATGCTTTGGTCCCCTTTTTGCACAACATGTACCGAATGTCCTGCACCGTTCTTCCACATCTTGCCTCATTCTTGTCCAGTAAAATCTCTGTCGTAGGTGACTCAATGTCTTCTTAACTCCGAGATGTCCTCCTGTTAAAGTATCATGGGATTGACGCAGCACAACCTCCCGTAACTTTCTCGGTATAACAGTTTCCAGGTCGTCACTTTCCCATCTCGGGACAAGAATACCATCTTCAAGCTTCAACTGGTCCAAATTGAGTCCAATAGTTCTTTTTCACAGGGCTTAAGCTAGACACATGCTTCCAAGCAGGGCGCAAAACACTTACTTGCAGGAAATCAATTATTAGCTTCAAATCTTGGTCTTTCTCCTGTTCTGCATTAATATCTATACTTTGTTCCACTTCACCATCATCAACTCCTTCAGTCGCTTAACTTCAGCTTGATGACACCTGATTAGTTCAACGTCTCTTTTGCAGAGTCTTCTGCTCAGTCCGTCGGCATTACTATGAGATTTTCCTTCTCTATATTCAATATCATAATTATACTGGTCTATCCTTCAGATCCAACGTGCCAGTTGTCCCTGTGGGTTCTTTAATGATCTTAACGAGCAGAACACAGCTTGGTCTGTCCTGGTGGTAAACCTGTCGCGATAAAGGTAGGGATGGAAATATATCAGACTCTTTATTATAGCAAGCAGTTCCCTCCTATTTACACAGTAATTCCTCTCTGGTTGACTCAGGACACTACTGAAGTAGGCCACCACATGTCCGTTTTCACCCACTTTCTGAGACAACACTCCTCCAATTCCGACATTACTAGCATGACAATCCAGTATGTATGTATGGCAGTGTTGGCCCGGCATGGCCAGGTGGTTAGGGTACTCGACTCGCAATCTGCGGGTCGCGGGTTCGAATCCCCGTCACACCAAACATGCTCGCCCTTTCAGCCGTGGGGCCGTTATAATGTGATGGTCAATCCCACTATTCGTTGGTAAAAGAGTAGCCCAAGAGTTGGCGGTGGGTGTTGATGACTAGCTGCCTTCCTTCTAGTCTTACACTGCTAAATTAGGGACGGCTAGCGCAGATAACCCTCGTGTAGCTTTGCGCGAAATTCAAAACAAACAATGTACGGCAGTGAGGGATTTGGAAGCGTTAAAAATGGAGCTGAGGCCAATTGTTCTTTCAATGTCTTG